TTTCACCTACCTTGGCATGCTCAGCGATGCCATTGCCATTTTCCATCCCCGAACAAAACGAACTGCAACAGGCTGGATTCGCTACAGAAAAAAATTATAAGGAAACAATATGTCACACACCAAGAAGACAACAAAGCAACAAGACATTAGGACAGACAATTATTAATCATTGCTAACTACTGCTTCATAGTTAACATAAACCATCACTAAATGTGTTTTTTCACAGAAATTAACTCAAATGGAGATGTGATTATTTGCACAAACTGATAAACTCCGTTCATTTGATGCCTAATCTAATGCATAATAAAGCCATTAATGCTGAAAAAAATCGCCTCCCACAAAAACAAAACATCAATATCCTCAAACCCCATACATCAACAATTACAACGCATCACACGAACCAAAAACATCACCACATCAGTTCTTCCATTGCCGTTCAGACTGTACTTAGACATAACCAAAACCGCATCAAAACAGATCCATTGCTAGGGTTTATCATAATCTATTGTCAAACTAAACAAAAAAAACTATAAAAAAAAATTGACTGTAAACGAAGAAAAATCAGAAACTAACCAGAAAATCAAATGAATAGAGAGAGATTCAGAACCTGCTTTTAGAGAGAGATACAATCGATGATGCGTATGGCTGATTGAGGTGCAGTGCCGTCGTCGAATAAATAGGTAAAATAAAATAGGTGAGGATAGTTGGTGAAAAATAGGATAAGATGATATGGGCCGGGTTAACATGGGTTAACGGGTTTGGATCCCCGCTTAGGAAATGGTTACTATGTTAGGTGTAGTGAAGTCCCCGTCACGTGTTTCTATTTGTTTGGCCACATGTGAAAACTCACTCACTCATTCATTCACCGTTTAGAAATCATAATTTTTAACCAGAGCGCTTGGATGAGATGGCTTGGGTCTCTTTCAGCTTAATCAGTGGTCTTGAGTTCGAGTCTTGAGAATGCAGCAGTGTTAAAACTCTTGAGGGAGAGCTTTGCCGCCCTTGTGGTCCTACCCGGCTCGATTCCGGATTAGTCGGTTCCCCTGTAAATCCAGAAACCGGAAGGTCCCTGTACCAAAAAAAAAAAAAAGAAATCATAATATTTGTATGGCAACCTAAAGTAGAGAACTCCTAGATCAGTTATCTTTGACGGTTACATGATGATCTAACGGTTATAAACTCCACGGAATAGTTTTGTAACGGGATCTTAGCATTTCTCTGGAAAGTAGTTGTACTTTTTCTTAAAAAAAAAAAAAAAACATACTTATATTCCATAATGTCATATTTTTTATTTTGTTATATTGTTAAACATTTAGTTTACTTTTTTAACACAAATTTTTGTATGAAGCAATTCAATAGTATTCAGGTCTTACTCATCAAATTTTTTAAAAGATACTCATAGGAATCACTACAATTTCATTACGGAATGATTTCATGTTATTATTAGCCTTTCGTTACATACACAATGTAGAATTTTTAGGATTTTTTTTAATCAAACCAGCCACGTAATGTTTTTGGTTGGGGTGATCTAATCATTGGACGAATCGGTCCATTATAATTTTTTAACAAAAATAGCATACTTTTGTTTACATCCAAGAATACGAAATCTAATTCCAACGTACGACTATTTTATGGAGATAATTAGATGACAATAATATGCAAATTAACTTTAAATGTTATCAAAATCATAGGAGGTTGGATTTTACCTCGTATATAGTATTTCTACAAGAGTTTTAGATATCGAATGGTCCGTCTATAAATCAATGGCTAAAAATTCATGAAAATTTTCCTAAAATCATCATCACCAAAAGAGGTTTTCTGGATTTTTTTTTTCCCATAATCTATCATATCACCAGAAGAGGTTTGTGCACCCACTCATACTAGTTAGCTACATAACTTTGTCATGTGTATAAATATTTGTTTGCCTCTTGGGGATTAGAGGGTGTTATCTTTGAGAGAAATGCTACGATTTTATTACGGAACCATTCTATCGGGGTTCGTAACCGTTAGATCAATTATTTTCGTTGATTACATGATGATCTGACGATTATAAAATCTCGACGGAATGGTTCCCTTATATTTGAATAATAATAATGGGAAAAGAAACACATATAATTTTTATTTTTATTACATACTTGAGAGGGCCTCGTGGGTTTTAGCATAACGAGTTTTAAATTGAGTATGAAGTAACATGCAATGTCTCCTTCGAATTGGGATTGCGTTTTTGGAGTCACGCAATTAATCTTTACCACCAATAAAAATGCTACTATTACTTGTCTGCCATGTTCATCCTCTACAAATTAGTAGTGTTTGTTACAAATTCTAAAGTGTTTTTTTTTTTTTT